AATACCACCCTGGTTTCTCTTCCCACTGTCCCTCCTCCGCTTTAAGGAAACTGACTTCTGTAATCTGGGAACCATAGATGAGGATCAGGCAGAATCCAGTCAGTACAGTTAGTTCTCTCCTCAGAATATTCTCCTTGGGCTAGTGTGAGCATGTGACATAGTTCAAGCCAATCACACTGGAGAGGGCATTTATTGCAAACATCGGGAATGAAAAGCTTCCATATTGTAAACATAAAACAGTTCTCACCTCAAAGGGAATAAAAGTTTATTTTTCAACCTGATATCAGTGACCATGGCCTTGGGCCTCAAACTCACAGAGATCCGCCTGCCTATGCCTCCTGAGTGCTGGGATTAAAGTTGTGCACCACCAACGCTCGGCCTGGGACATGGGTTCAAATGGCCTTGGATGGTCTGTTTTAATGTAACGGAAATAGTTTTGAGATGTTTCTAAAGTTACCCAACAGAAGAGATTCACAGATGGATTTTTGAAGGCACTGGTAGAAACACCAGGCAGAGTCTAGCAAAACAGACCCATCTCTGTTCTAGGCTTCAAGTGTTGTCTGAAGTCATGCTTACCTTTTGGGTTGGTAAATGCTAGGAGTCTGTTAATTCCGCCCAAAAGGTTTCGGCAGTCCTTGCAGGACCGTGAGATCAGAGGTGAGCAATGGATAGCTCTTAAAGGGACTAAAGACAGCCCAAGATGGTCTGGTTCTGGGTCTGTGACATTCCAACTCTCTGCAATTATGGATTTCTAATCAGCCCATCAGCCACGTAGAATCAGTTACATAGGTGTGGCCTTTGTTTTTCCTTCTGGGAACTTCACTTTGGTCTTCTGAGAGAACTTCTAGAGCAAGTCTGATCTGACAGTGGACATCTTCAGCACCATATGTGAAGAGCTGGAAATAAAGCCAGTGTAGAGCAATACCAAGAAAAACAGGAGAACTGAGCCTTGATGATATTGCCTGAGTTTGTGACCTAGCTATGCCTGAACCCCTCCTAGACCTCTGCCATGCACACACCCTGCATCTCATCCACAAGCAAACCATATCAGCACAGCTTCTGACACACTCAGAACCCAAGCCCTCCTCAGGGCTGATGCTGCCTTCCTAGGCCTCTTGTTCAGCCCCCTAGTGACCTACATGTGGGCCTCCATGCTTCCACACTTATTCCATAGAGTTGGCCAATTCAGGCTTGAAAACCTCAAGTCATATGAGGCCACTGGTCTCCTCAGAGCCTAAAGACATTGCATTCACCTCCAAGAGCCTTACCCTGACCCTCAGCACCTGCCGGGTCCCCTCTAGCCTTATCTCCTATTGCTGCACCCACCCTAACCCAGCGTTCTCCATCCTCACTGACTTCTTAGTTCCTACCTCAGGACCTCTGCACGTGCTATTCCATCTTTCTGCCATGTTCTTCCACCAGTAGCTGTGTGGCTGACTCCCTCTTGCCTTTTGGGCTTCAGTTAAGTCATCAAAACCATTTCTGCCTAACCTGGAGCTTTCTTGCTACTATGTCCCTTTACTCTGCTTTGTTTTTCTAGAAGACTTTACCATTACCTGACAAACATGTATTTGCATCTATGTGACTATACCCACCCATCGCCCTTAGAACATATGAGAATATGTGCTGTCTTCTTTGCTAATAAATATAGAAATTCCCAGAACACCTCCTAGCACCACGCAGGCACTCAGTAAAGCATTATCAATGTATTAGTTTGATGAATTAAAGAATCATTTCCTCATTTTGAGTGTGGCATTTTAAACTGGGTTCCTGCCACCTGCAGACAAAAGCGTTGCAGTACAGAATTCAGTTAAGATTTGCTTTAGACATGGGGAGATAAACAACTTAGCTTTGCCTCGGTTGCAAGTTACATTTCCATTGAAGAGTTTAATACATCTGCCTGGTTGAACCCCTGATTCTACCATAACATGGCTTCGTTGAATCCTCTCATTGTTTTATACACGGTAAATGCTGCCTGCCCCTCACGTGATCGGAAACGTGGATGTGGTCTGGTAGAGTAGCCGAGCCTCTGCCACTTTGTCCCCAGCCCACAGTTCTGTTTCTGCATTTCTGTTCACAGTCCCAGAGTTTCACCATGTGGCTCTTCCCACAGCCCTGGGGGAGCACTGAAATTTTGCAGCTTAAGTCTCTATTTATCTGGCATTTCCCATCCTCTCTTCTCTGAAAGCCAATAACATTCTGAGTTTTTCCCACAAGAGACTGCGGGCTCTTCAGGGGAAGGAGAAAAGCAAGCAGATGGCTCTTGGGAAACCAGATCTGCATCTCGAGATCAAAATTCCCCCTTCTGTAAACCAGCCCTGAGTAGAGCATTCTTCAAACCATGGACAACAGACGCCCGTGTGCTCCAGTCTTAAGTGGCCACAATATGCGCCCGGTTCTGGTGCCAGCCCCTTGCTTCCAGCCAGAGCCGCTTTCCCTTCCCCAGTATTCCCCACAGGCCACATTAGCTCCTGTTTGAATTCCCTCCCCTCACCACACACTCCAGCGGTACTCCAGCCCCCAGTGGACAGGCACAGGCTTATTTGCTTTCACACATAATTGACAAAACAGCAGGGACTTCTAGCTGGAAACTGTTTTCTAGGCTGCAAAAGGCCACAGACAACCACAGAGCTGCCAATACACTTCAGAACTCATTAATACACTCTTGGCACAAGTTGGCGCATGACACTGCCCTGTGCCCCACAGGGAAGGACAGATGACAGTTCTCAGTGGTGGGAGGGCCAGGATGGGGTCCCTTATCCAGAGGCTTTTTGTATTGCTAGTTCTTTTAGATAATGTTCAGAGACACACAGGTGACTTTACTTGAGGTCACAGTGTCAAAGATCATTGGGGTCCCTTTCTGATTCCAAACTAGGGTCTAAAACAGACCCAAGTCACATTTTACGATGTTTGTTTTAGAAACCAGGCTAATATAGTGAGGACTGGTTTATGACACCGAATGATGCAACAGTTCCTCCAGCCCACAGAATGTGTCTTCTCGGGCCAGACTCAGTTGGAGAACATGGTCCTCACCCCATGGCTCTGTTGCTTTTACTACTGATATCATGCCCAGGCCACTCACTGAGAGTAAAACGCTGCTCACATTACAATCTAGAAGCATTTCCAATACTTTGTATGGCCTGGCCAAAAAGCTGAACTGTCTAGCTTGTGTGGTCTTATTTTATATGAAATGTGAAATTGTCCTATTTATCCAGGTGATTTCTTTTTCAGGATTCCTGTAAGATTTTTGGGGGTTTCACTTACTCAAAGTCACAGAAAGAAGTGTTTAAAGCTCCCTAGAATCAGGGTGGATGTAGGACTAGGCTCCCAGGGGTGCAGAGAGAGTCAGTGGTCCCCTCTCCCTGCCCTCGTTTCTTATGAGGGGGAACTAGAAAGAGCTGAGAACAGAAACCACCTGCATTATTTTATAATGAATGTTTAATGGCTAAAATAGAGAAAACAGATGGGAAAATACAATTCAAATGGTAGAATGATTGGTGGCAAGGGTGGCTCATTTGGTAAAATTCTTGCTTTTTAAGTTAAAGACCTGAATTTGGTCCCTAGAACCTGAGTGGAGACTCTAGTTAATGTGCACTTACAATCCCTGCTCTGGGAGGAGGAGCCTGGGGGCTTGCTGCGCAGCTGACTACTTATTTAACAAGCTCCAGGTAACCTAGAGACCCTGTGTTAAAGTAGGTGATGGCTCTCCTGAGAATGGACCCCCGAGAGTCATTCTCTGCTTCCACATTGTTGTGTCCAAATTCTGAACCCCCAAATCATCAAGAGACCCATTCCAATGCAAAAGCAAAGAGTCTTTTATTGTTTAACCAGTTAACTGGCATTAACTCGCTTCCTCTGTCCATCCAATACAGCGGGTGGGGCAAGAAGGACCCGAAGGGACTGAGAGGCAGGGACTTTATTGGGGTGAGCAAGGGGAGTGTCTGGGGTCCACAACAGTCTCGGGATTGGTGCATTTCCGGGCTTGGACAGCCTGTCCTGAATTGATTGGTCAACTACAACAGGTAGGTTACTATGGCCTATAGGCCCTCCCAGGACATTGCTATGCTCTGCATTCCACTGTTATCATACATCCAGAGCCCACCAGCTAACTTCTGATTGGTTCCTTGCCACATTGAGGGTATCTGGCTTCCTAGTGAGGGGCAATGTTGGAAGTTCAGCGCATGTTGCTGAGTCAGGGGCCTTTGTCTTGCTGGGCCTTTTCTTCAGCCCGTCATGGCTGTCAAAGCAGGAGGCTGGGTGAGGGTGTGGTCCCTTCAACATGTGCACACACACATATGCACACATGCATCTAAAAGCACTCCCCCATCCCCCACATACAAAAGAATCCAGTAGAAGCCAAATGATTGTTTCTTTGAGCAATTTTCCTTGGAAATATAGGATGTACAAAGCATGAATGCAGGGAAGGCAGGAGTCCAAACGTAACGAAAGGAGTGTAGACACAGTGGCTAGATAGAGAAACAATACCAGGGGCATTTGGCTTCAAGAGGCTGGAGACAGATACTCATCCATTGAGAGCACTGGGAGCTTTTGTAGAAGACCTGGGTTTGGTCCCCAGCACTCACATAGCAGCTCATAACCATCTGTAATTCCATTCTGTTGTCATAGCAGGAGTGGAGGGAGGTCAGACAATGCTGGCAGAGCCTATGGTGCTATGGGTGTATACCGGTGTCCTTCCCTTCAGCCAAGTGGTGGTAAGAACCAGACACTACCATCCCAGGTGAGAAAGCTACTGCCCCCAGCAACCTTGGTATGAGGGGCAAGCTCACACAGCAATGCAATGCTATCTAAACCCCCAGGGTAAGGGCTTACATGTATAATGACACCTTTTCATTTATTTTCTTCCTTTGTGAGGCTGGAGAACCAGCTTGGGGCCTTGCAAACTCTTGGCAAATGTTCCACAGTTTGTCTGACTGGCTGACCTGTTCAAAGGTGCCTGAAAGGGAGAGTGAGGATTGGGAAAAGAGACAAGAGACAGAAGATAGAGTCAGGAGGGCACTCAGTGAATACTGCCAACGCCCCAAGTTTATTACTGGTAGTCCTTATATACCCCAAGCAAAAGGAGAGGGCAAGAGACTTCCTAACAATGATACAAGGAACAAACAAATTTAATTACCTCCTTAACACTCAAAGCATCTGCTAACCATGCCCTAAGTCAAACATCCTGTAATTTGGTCTTGAGGTCAAGGCATCCAATATCCAGACCTTGGGCCAAATATCCTGTTGTTTAACCTTGAGGAGCAAGAATAGGTTTGAACTCTCTGACCTTAAGTCAAGATGGAACAGAGTCAATAACAATGCCCTCCCACCCCCACAACCACTGAGTTCCACCCCTGCCGAGAGACGTTGTCCTGGAAGACAGATGAGAGCTTCTTTCTTTGAGTTTACCAGGCACTAGCACAGAGGCTCAGAGCTTGCTTGACTGGCTTTGAATTCCAGCCTTGGTCCTCTGCTATACGAAGGATGGAATGAAGGCCATCTCTTCCTGGTACTTGTCCTGCATGGGCTAGTTATTAGGTGTGAAGCTATTCTAGAAAATGGATAAGGCTAGATTTTGTTAGATTCAGTAGCTCTTGTGCAGTTCAGTGTCCTTCCTTGTACCTGATCCTAGTTTCCACTCTCCTGCCAGAGAAGCAGCCCAGGGAGGCCATGCATCCCACCTACCTTGGGGGCTGATGAAAATCAGCTGCCAACCCTTCCACTAGGAACGTGACTCCAATGTGCCTGAGACCACTTTCTAGTATTTCAAACGAATGTTGAAATGGATGGCTAGGTCCAGGTCACAGACTTTGTCAGGACTTTTGGAGAGGACTACCCAGTCATCGGCTGCTGCTCTCTCTCCGTGCCTACAGTCCAGAACTGATGTTTCCGGTGTGTGAGCCCATGATCTGGAGCCAAAAGACCTTCCTATGCCACTTGGCATAGTACTAACTTTGCCTGAGGTGGAAATGAACAGACAGGACTTTCAAAGCTGCTCTGGCTCTGGCTGAGGCTTGGGTAGGGTGGAGGGGTGAAGGGCACACAGCTACCAGTCTGTTGCCTCTCTGACACATCAAGAGGCGACACTGAGTCCTCTATTTTCCAGCTTGCGCTCTGTGACTCTGCTCGACACTGACTGGTGTAGCAGAAAGGAGACGGTGGCCAAGTCACAAAAAGCCGGACAGCTCAGCTGCTTCTCTTAGATGGCTCACCCGTCCTCTGGCTGCCTGTTCTGGATACTTCTTCTGAGGAAGCCCCACCTGTGGGAAGCCAGTTTCTAGACACAGGCCTTGTGGGATGTGCCAATCAAGCCTCCAGGTGCAGGCATCAGGCAGGTGAAGATACCACCTCCTCAGCTCGATATCCGGCCCTCCACAGCAGCCCAGGCACCCTGGGCAGGACAGTGAAAAACAGGACTAATTGGTGGCTGCTCCAGACCACTGATGACTTGTCCTACAGGATCCGTAGCCAGGGCACACTCAACGTGTCTTCCAAAAGCCACATCTCCCAGCCCCTGACCTCTGTACCGCCCATACCTCCTCCATCAAATCTCCAAGGTCAGCCTGTGAGCCAGTCTTGTCTCCAGAACTAAACCCTACAGAAAGAGCTGGACTTCGAAGCAACCATCCCCGGGTTGCTTCTGCTCTGAAAGGGCCTCCTGCCACCCTCCCCTTCCACCCACCCGTCCCTCTGTTGCTTCCTGGCCCCTCCTTCCACTGTGTCCGTATTCCCCAGCAACAATGGATCCTTCTCTGTTCTGAAGATGCACCCAATATGGTCTCGCCTCAGGGCTGGGCTGCCTCCCTGCCTGTCCTCCCTCTAATAAGTGCACCTGTCCCCTCCCCCAGTGCTTTTAGGTTTATACTTCTTCAGTGAGGTCTCTGTAGGCCTCTTTCTACATATTAGTTGTTTTCCTGTCACTGTGACCAAATTCCAGGCAAACATCTTAGGGGAAGGAGGACTGACCTTAGCTCACAGTTAGCTTCATGGCAGCTGAGGGGCTTAGTCCAGAGAGGCGGCACCATGTTCATGTGCTTTCGGATCAGGAAGCAGAAAGGCAGACTGGGGCCACACAGCAGCCAGACCACAGCCAATGAGCCACCGCTTTTGTTACCCTTCCTCCTGTCAGGCCTCATCCCTACACTTTACCAAACAGCGCCACCGGCTGGGCACAACTGCTCACACACATGAAGCTCTGGGGACTTTGCATTGAAACCGAATGCTTTCCAAACACTCAGCTGGGCCCTGGTTTGAGCAATCGTTTTCCTGCCTTCTTTTCTAGATGGCCTGTCACTAGATACCGTATCCATTCATGCTGTATATTATTAGCCTCTACTAGAATGTGAATTCTAATATGGGTAGAGCTTCTTCCCCAGGGTCTAGAAGAGTCAGGCATAAGACTAGTAGGTGGTCAATAAATATTCACTGCAAAAATAAAAGGATATCATGCCACACCAGTTTGCCTCTGTTATCCTACAACATGACGACATGTTTAGCTCCAAAAATACTGGCTGAATGCAGGTGAAACAAAGACCAGCAGCTTCTCGGTGTCTTTGGAAGGGCGCACACAGCTCCTTGGAGCCGCTGCCTTCAGCCTCCCTCTTCAGCTTCCCTGCGCCTTTCCTCCATGGAAAGGAGCATGTGTCTCCCTGGTCCTTTGCCCAGGATGTCTGGAGCTGGCACACGCAGAGCTCAGAGGTCCCCAGGCCTCTGCCTCACCCCCTCCTCAGTCTGGAAAGCAGGAGGGCGTGTGTCCTGTTGTCACTGCCACTCCTGGCTCATCGCTGGCTGTGGTGGGTACAGGTGTGTATGAGGCACTAGGAGGGTGGAGTAGGGGAGTAGGAGGGGAAGAGAACGGGTGATTGCACCCTGAGTCTGGAGAGAACACAGAGCAGAGGATGGAATGGCTCTCGGCTGTGTGTCTGTATAATGTAGTTGACGTTTTCAAGCTAAGTGTCTTCTTTATCTGAAAAACTGTTTAGCCAGGGCTGGCCTTGAACCTTTGGAACTCCTATATCTTTCTACCGAGTACAGGGATGAGGATATTCTGCCAGTAATCTTTTTTTTTAAGACTGGGTCTTGGCCGGGCATTGGTGGCGCACGCCTTTAATCCCAGCACTCGGGAGGCAGAGGCAGGCGGATCTCTGTGACTTCGAGGCCAGCCTGGTCTACAAGAGCTAGTTCCAGGACAGCCTCCAAAGCCACAGAGAAACCCTGTCTCGAAAAACAAAAACAAAACAAAAAACAAAACAAAAAACAAAAAAAAAAAAGACAGGGTCTTGGCTTGCTGTGCAGTGCAGGATAGCCTCACAGTAGTGATCATTTTGTTTCACTCTGAGAGTGCAGGGATTATAGGCATGTGCCACCACAGCCAGCAAAAACATGCTTTTTGAAGGGGAGGAAAGTAGACTGAAAAACACTACTCAAATGCAAATAAGTTTCAGTGTTTTAACTGCTGACAGGGAAATTATCGAGGGTGCAATTCAGGTTGCGGCCAGAGGGTGGCAGCAGCAGACAAGGGCTTTGCCTCAAGCTCTTTTGCAACAAAGCAACCCTGGAAGCTGCCGGTGGGGGCTAAAAGGACTGCGGTTGCCGGCGCTGACGCCGTCTTTTGTGCCCAGCTCACTCCCTTCCTTCTCTCCTGCAGCGGAATCTGAGCACTGCACGACCAGATCCAGAAGCTTCCCGCTGACTGACTGCTGACCCCTGGCGTTTTTTCACTCTTGTCCTTAACCTCACCATATTGTTTAGCAATTTCTGGTGATTTTTGTTATTTTTAAATTGTCGTTTTGTTTCGTTTTTAATTTAGTATATTCATTAAATCTTTGAGAATCTCATACAAGCATGCAATGTGTCTTGATGGTTGCTTTTGAGACAGAGCTTCTCTGTGTAGCTTGAAACTCATCTCCCCCAGCCTCAGCAATCTGAGCTCTGGGACTGCAAGTGCGCATCTTCTGTTGGAGTGTAGGATTTTCATTGGAGACCTCTCCTAGACGACGCCATAAACTTCAGAGATAAATTGAGCAGGCAGAATTATCCCCCCTTTCCTCACTTTAGCACTTAAACCATAAGGGAACCGAGGTGCAGAGGTGGCTTTCATGATCTCAGAGAGCGCAAGCTGGAAACGGGAAAATCCCTACACTAAGCCTGCATCCTCTAACTTCAATTCTCTTCAGCTGTTCCTCCGGCCGCACCTTGGACTCCTGCTGTTCACTGGAGATCTGTGTGGGCTTCTGGCATCCGGGTCACCGTGGTCACCTTAGCCAGCTGGTGACGGCTGTGGAATAATCCTTTAGTACATTGTGAAGATGAGTCTTTGCCAAGGCACCTTCTGATTGGTTTAATAAAGAGCCGAATGGCCAATAGCTAGGCAGGAAGCGGGTAGGCGGGACTTCTGGGCAGAGAGAGAGAGGAAGAGGGGATGGACGAATCTAGGCAAGACACAGTGTGGAAACAGGAGGTGCAAGATGGAAGAGAGGTAAAAAGCCACGAGGCAAATTATAGATTAATATAAATGGGTTCATTTAAGTTACAAGAGCTAGTGGGACAAGCCTAAGCTCGAGGCCAAGCTTTGTGTGTGTGTGTGTGTGTGTGTGTGTGTGTGTTTGTGTGTGAGCTGGTGTCCCGCAGGAAAGGCCATCTACAGGTGGCAGCATCCCCATGCTTTGGGCTTGAGTCTCAGCCTTCCTCCCTCTACCCAGACAGCAGCAGCACCTCCTTCCTGGCCTGCTCCCACACTGGCTACTGAGAAGCACCCCGCATCTCTGTGTCATGTATGTCTTGGCCTTTCAGTTCACAGGTCTTACAGCCGAGCAATCCTGAGATATCACTAGGGGTAGGGTTACAAAGAGAAAAAGTAAAAAGCAAAGAAAAGGAGGGCTGGAGAGATGGCTCAGTGGTTAATAGCACTGGATGCTCTCCCAGAGGACCTGGGTTCGATTCCAGCACCCACATGGCAGCTCACAGTTGTCTGTTACTCTAGTTCCAGGGAATCTGACACTTTCACACCAATGCACATAAAAATACAAAAAAAAAAAAGCAAAGAAAAGTAACTCATATCCAAACTGTCTTCAAGATTACTAGGTTTATTGGAGAAACAGGAATCAAAGGTTCCCACAGCGGGCAGAGCTCCACCATCGAGCTACATCTGCTGCCCAGACTTTCCTAGTTCTTGCTACTCCTCATCTTAGACACCCCACTGGGAGCCTGTAGGCCCCACCCAAGCCTTATGAGCTTGCCTTTAGGGTGCAGGGTCTCGGTTTCCTCCATTTCCACTCTCTTAAACACAGCGTCTCCCTACCCCTTTTTATCTGAGGTTTACCTTTTCATAGTTTCAGTTACCTGACATCAAACACACTCAAAAAATATTCACAGAAACTTCCGGAAGTAAACAATTCATATGCTTCCCATAGCATATTGCCACGGTTGTTCAATTGTGTCCTTAGTCTTTGTTAATCTCCTACTGTACCTAATTTATAAGTGAAACCTAATTATGGCAGTGTGCAGGGTCAGCATTCCCCAGGTCCGGGGTTTGTGGGATGTGTCACCTGTATAGAGGAGCTATTGGAGGCCTCTCCATCAGGAACACAGAAGCTGGGGACAGCAAAGTTGGCAGGCATCAAGGCTGTCTTAGGGTCCAGGCGCTGTGGGGCGTGTCACCTCATCAACAAACTCAGAAACTGAGGCTCAAGAACACACATATCAGTGTCTGGAGCCACATATCCAATGTGCGATGGGGAAGGGAGGGAGTTTTCTCCGTAATTCACATGATCATTCAGCTGATGTCAGGCAAATGTGTACTCTCAGAGGCATTTACCCTGCGGGGGACTTCCAGGTTTGGTGAAGCTAGTCTCAGAACCCACGCTTCACCCTGGAACCTATGGTAGCATGGGTTGATTTGTTCTGCTGTGTGGGTGTAAGAGGAAAGGAAACTCCATTGTTTTTGCCTTAGGGGAGCCAGCTCTAGGTGGAGGGGAGACCTGCAGGGAGGAGGTGGTCCATGGAGTAAGAACGCCTCCCTTGTCACAGGACATATGTTGCTGGCCAAGGACACCCAAAAGCATTGCCCGGCAACAGCAGTCCCCATGAATGGGATGCAGCTGTGGTTGTGGACAGATGGGGCCAGCCAGATCTGACCAAGCTGAACATCAACAAAACCTGGCCAGGAGCAGACAGGCAGTGTGGCTTCTCGGACTGATAATCACAGAAGCCTGGTGAATGTGAGTTTTCAGTAAACAATGCCACGTGGCTGCTGGTTTGGGTTTTTGCCTGAGTGTGAAAAGGGAACTAGGATTTGGCTGGCATTAAGGACAGGAGTCCTCTCAGGAAACAGGACTCAGTTATAACCTTAGGACAGGAAGAAGCAGGAAGCTTCCAGAGTCTAGAGCCCGGCTTCAGGGACTGAAAACCAGATGATGGCTTGACCTAACAGGGCAGATACAAACAATCCAGCAACTCCCTGGACTCAGAAGCCTCAGTGAGTGGCCAAGTGAAGACCAGATTCTCCTGTGAGTTTCTCTAAAATCCCATAATTCAAGCAATCTCGGAGGATATGAATTTAGGAACATTGTCTCCATCACAGTGTCACCTTGACCTGAATATCTTCTCCAGCTCTCCCTTGTGTCAGAGGGAAGGAAGAAGAATTGGACTCCTCAGGATTACAGGGAACTCAGCCAAGACGCGCCGGCCCCCCTCTCCCCCCCCCCCCCCCCCGTGTGTTCTTCTCCTCCCCTGAATTTCCTATTCTCTCGATGTCAGTCTACCTCCCAGGAGCCTCAATTTGGGCAAGAACCCGAATGAGTGGAGACAGAGCAGGAGAGCCTTGGACTGTAGGGCGTGTGTTAGGAGAAGCTGGATTGAGTGTCAACCAGGTGAGCCCTGGAAACCCACACAACCAAAGGTAGAGGCTCCAACCACTCCCAGTCCAGGAACTGCTATATAATATGAGGTAGGGCCACACTTAGGATGAAGACCCAATCAACTAAAAGCAATGCATGTCCAGGGTAAGTGTATTAAACCAGCAGCAATAATAAGCAGGACAGCAGAAACTCCTCTCTAAGGACATCCCCACCCCACTTGAGTGTCCTTTGCACAATAAAAT